CGGCTTCTAGTACTTTGATAGCGTTCATAACCTAGAAAGCAAATAGCTGCTGAAATATGTGAGCAACATCCGACTGTTCGCGGACCTTGTATGCGCGCACAGTACCATGCGATAACTTGTGTTGAGTCAAATTGAATGTATGTATGATAGGTGCATGATTTATATGCAGATCGAAATCCGGATCCGTGAGTTCAGTGCAGGCGCTGTGTTCTTCAGCATAACTTCTTGCTCTTTTCAGCTGGTAGACACCTGAAAAATAGTTGGATGTTAATGAAGATTTGATCGAAAAGTTTGATACCTAGAGTTATAGATCTGATATCATCGAGCGATAAGACAGGAAATGGTTCAAATAAATTGTCAATATCTATAAATTGCCAAATGTTATGTCGCTGCAGATTATCTTGGATAAGCCGTTCTGGCAAGATCTTTTGAGCCGTGCATTGACACCTTCAACCACCCAACGTAGTTTCGTGACAAAACGTAATCGGTTGGCATCGTACGCATCGAATTGTCGTCGAGTTTTACCGAGAAACGAAGGCATCGCAGTGTCGATCCCAAGAGCTTATAGTACGCCAAGACAATCACGGAAGCCTCTGTCTAAAATCATGATGTCATTTTCCTTGGTCCAATTAAGAATATCTTCATAATTGTTGAGCATGACATGCTTCAGAATAGAAGCGTCATTGTTATGAAAGTCGGAGAAGAATGGTCCAAAAATTGTGACTATATACCCAGTTGTGGTTACCATAACCATGGGCTTGATCAATCACCGTTTCTTCTGCAGACTGTATGTCTTGCGTTGAACGGCATTATTTCTACTTTTCTATTTTTCAGAAACGTTACACTGTAAACTAGAAAATACATTATAGAGTACAATGAAAGATATTCTAGGAAAATCCATATGAATTCAATGACAAATTTCTACTTTCTTGAAAATCCGATATTCAATAAAATAGAAATAAAAAATCCGATTTTCTAGCTAGAAAATCGAATGCAAATTCGTTTGGGCTTTTCTAGAAATTCGCATTTTATTTAGTAATTAGAGCATTTTCTAGAAATTGGAAATTCAATTTTCATTTTCAATTTCAAATGTATAGAGAATATAATAAGATTTTATCCTCAAGAGAAACAACTAGTTAATGTCTTCAGCAATCTCATCTATGATTCTAAACTGATGGTAGATAAAAATTAATGATATAAACTAAAATTTTAGGATTCCATCAAAAGAGGAAAATTTTCTAACGTAAGAAATAAATGGATATTATGTGTTTGTTCATGTAAAATGGGCTGACTCATGTGGATTCGAAAAAATATAGTTGATCTGCTCGCTAGAGCTGGCAGAGAAAATAATGAATGCACTACACTGCCGACTATAACTTATATACACAAATGAACAACGACTTTATAAAGGTCATAATCCAAATGATTTTCTATAAAATTGCAATTGAATTTCAAACATTTTAAGAAGTCACTGTTGATTTTTCAATTTTTTGGAAAAAGAATTTTTCTGAAAATCAAATAGAATTTCTATAATTTAGAAAATCAAGCATTTTCTGAATATTTAAAATTCGATGAATGAATAATAAAAGTTCGAAAATGCTTTAGCTTATTTAAAGTCGATTTTCTAAAAAGTAGAATTTCAAAAAAATTTACAGCGTGCTATGAAATTCAGTGTTTAACTCAAAACTTTGAATTCGTGTCATGTATCAACTCTACTATCAGAATAGAGCATGATGATAATGCGTGTTCTCAATTTTTTAATATCATAATTGATGATTCATATCTAGTTATCTTGGTGTGAGATT